GAAAGAATGCAAAGTTGCAATTGTGTTGTAAAACTTTGCTAAAGTCATAAGATTGAGTTAATAATTAATATTTGACATGAGATCATCCTTGAGGTTTACTTTGAAAAATGACTCAGGAAGTCTTAGAGGACCTTCGTAAGGGATGAAGTATTTACATTTTTTTCAGTAAAAAGTCATCACATTAGGGTAGGCTAGTGGATGGCTGAAGGACTGGAAATTAAGTTAAGAATATGAAACCACAAGCGTATTTCTTCCCTTTTCATTGCTTGAGTTTTCAGTTTGTCAAAAACGATTTTTTTGGTCATGTCTCATGCTTTCTTAAGCTCTGGTGTATAAAGTGCACTAGAATTTTGTTCTCTTTCTATTAAATATGAGATAATTACTCTTAATGCCATATGCTCATCTGCAATATGTCAATGCTTTCCTTTTATAACTATGCTTCTTATATTAGTCCATATCTGGGTGTACGACCCTACTTTATCTGTAATAGACAGATTGAGCATGGTGTTGACTTCTTTGAATGAGTCAATGTGGTCAGCATATGTGAAATTTTTAACCTTGAGGGGTTGCTCAATTGGTCAGGCCTTGGATTTGCTCCCTTAATGGTCACCAGTTCAAGTCCCCTCAGGGCCACTGAGTACCAGATCGTAAACTTCAGGGTCCGTGGTATTAGTCGAGGTGCAAGCAATCTGGCCCGGACATCCACAGTTATCAAAAACAAATGTGAAATTTAAGTGATTTCTCTGCTGTACATGTCATATAACAATGTTGTGGGGAAAGAGGAATTTTCACGTTCTTTTTCACACTATCAATCTGAGGTTCTATATTATTTTACAGGTTGGTGCAATAGCACCACAAAGTCTGGAAACCATACTGCAAAGTATTCACGAGTGCCTTGGCAGTTCAGATTGGGCTACTCGAAAGGCTGCAGCCGATACATTGAGTGCTTTGGCACTTCACTCAAGCAACTTGATCACAGACAGAGCTGCTTCCACATTGAATGTGCTTGAGGCCTGCCGGTTTGACAAGGTGACCTCCCAAAATCAACTCCTCCAGACAACTATTTGACTGTTACATTTTCCTATATATGGTGCTAAAAGTTGATGAAGTTATAGAGCTATTTACTGCATCAGACACCAGCTATCGTGCTCTTTCGCTTCTTTATCCCATTATGTCAGATGAATTTTTGAAGAAAGAATTGTTAACTTGGTTTTTATTGTATTCCACAGCTAGGCTGCTTGCATTTGTTCTTGTTTGACAAGTAATGGCGACCTCTACCTAACATTACAATAAATTTCGAAATAAGAATCCTTTATTGTATGAGCGGTCTTCCACATTTACATACTGCAGATGATGTCAGGGAAAGTGTTCTGCAGTTACCCACCATTGTGTACATTCTCAATGATGAATGGAAACCTCTCTAATATCATGTTGAATCACTTCATCCAAAAGATTGAGTTGATAGAAAGGGAACTACATTATTTATTTAAATTTTGTCGTCAACATAACTTACAGAACAGTTGCAGGTTGAATGACCTTTTTGTATTCAATGGGAAAAGTTATTCTGCTTAGAATATTGCTTTGGCGGAGCTACTTCTCATTTGGAATATTGATTTCCATTGCTAATAATATTCCAATCAACTTAAATGTCGATTTAGGGATATATGAAGAGTCATTGTAGGTTAAGCCCAGTTTGTTTCAGGTCATTGCTGAAATCTCACTCAATAAAAATGAATGCTATTTACTTTTTTGACCAGATAAAGCCTGTCAGAGATAGTATGACAGAGGCTTTGCAACTTTGGAAGAAAATTGCAGGAGAAGGAGATGGATATTCAGATGACCGAAAAGCTTCATTTCATGGTAGGAATGGGATCAAATATTCTTCATTTAAACATTTTTTTTTTTTTAACTTAGAGATGTTATATATCCCTCTCATGCGCTTGCCGATCCTTCAGATGGCAAGGCTTCTGCATTAGCTGACCATTTTGATAAGAAAGATATTCCAAGTCCTGGGGAGAGAAGAGGTGAACCTTCGGGAAAGGATTCATCCAGTGGATCTTCACCTACCGATTCTACTTCCGAAGATAAGGGTAACAACGTTTCGGACAAGGCGGTTGGGATACTGAAGAAGAAGCCACCAGCATTAACTGACAAAGAATTGAACCCAGAGTTCTTCCAGAAACTTGAAGGGAGGGGTTCAGATGATTTACCTGTAGAAGTGATTGTCCCTCGACGATGTCTTAATCCTTCATATCAGCAAAATGACGAAGAGACAGAGGCAAATGATATGGACTCAAAGGGAACAATGGAGAATTTCCAGCCACATCATGATCTCGTTAAGATGAATTACAAAAACAAGGAGAGAGGAACGTCCGGTTCTATATTTAGGGAAAGGCACATAGGTGATAGGAGTGATGCAAATCAAAGGGAGTCATCCAGCATTAATGCTGATTTTTCTAAACATCCTAGTCAATCTGAGAGATATATGAATAATAAAGGAAATTGGTTGACCATTCAGAGGCAATTGATACAGTTAGAGAGGCAACAATCCCGTCTCATGAATATGTTGCAAGTATGATTAGTTTGTTTGTGTTATGGAAATGAGTCCTCTGTCTGTTATTTTTGCCTAACTCCTCTCTTGTATTTCAGGATTTTATGGGAGGGTCTCATGATAACATGATGACCCTTGAAAACAGAGTACGGGGTCTCGAGAGAGTTGTTGAAGACATGGCACGAGATTTATCAATATCAAAAGGTCGAAGAGCTGGTGGTGTTATGGCTGGATTTGAGGGTTCTTCCAATAGCCATCGAGGAAAGTATAATGGCTTCCCAGATTACTCTAGTGCCCAGTTAGGAAGAGATAGTAACGATGGGCATATTCCCTTTGGGGGGAGACATGCAGCATTTGATGGTGTTGCTTCAGGCATGCGAGGTAGGGGCCCATCTTGGAGATCTGACGCACCTGATGCTTCGTACATCCATGCATATGGTAAAAGTGGGCAAAGGAGAGTGGCAGGTGGTGGTGTTGTAGACATTAGGTCCACTAAATTGGAAAATGAGACTGATCAGGTTAGCAGCAAGAGAGCTTGGGAAAAAGGATCTGGAACTGTTCGGTTTGGTGAGGGGCCTTCTGCTAGAAGTGTGTGGCAAGCTTCAAAAGATGAAGCAACTTTGGAAGCAATTCGGTTTGCTGGAGAAGATAATGGAGATGCTCGAAATGCTCGAGTAGCTATACCAGAAATGACATCTGAAGCATTAGAAAATGATGGTACATTGCAAGAGAATGACCCCACCTGGACTTCTTGGAGCAATGCAATGGATGCGCTTCATGTTGGTGATGTGGATTCAGCTTTTTCTGAAGTTCTGTCAACTGGAGATGATCTATTGCTTGCGAAGCTCATGGACAGATCAGGTCCTGTAATTTATCAACTATCACTTGACGTAGCTATTGAAGTTCTGCATGCTGTTGCACAGTTATTCCTGGAGCCAAACTTGTTTGAGATGTGCTTATACTGGGTTCAACAGGTATATCTTCTAATTGTTGGTACCCTGATACTTTGGCTGCTCTGATGGGACCAACTACGTACTCCTACTTTTTCACTTTCTAAAATAAATCTCCAAATTATACTTCAAAATGTAGGAAGAAGGCATTGACACCTGTCACATTTGGTTAGAATTTCTCTGTTGTTTCAGGAAGGATTCTTGTTGGTATCCATAGGTTTATAGCATGTTATGGGGTGGCTTATCTTAAAGGTAAGCAAGAAATGTGTGGCTTTTTTTTTTTTGATGTGGACCCACCTTCATTCACAATAAGCCAACATAAGCCACATATTTGGAGCTTATCTTTGAGATAAGCCACCTCAAACACTCTTTATCTGCAAATTCGATTCTGGAGTTCAAGTCAGTTATCATTTTACCTACATTTCAATAATCCTGAATGAATAAAAATAGGGAATAGTTCATAAATGCAACATTTTAATTCTTCTCTTGTAAGTAAATTAGAAGAGTTTTTTTTCTCATCCTGTAGAATTTATTTGGGATAAGTTGTAATTTTACAAGCATTATAAAGTCTAGATCTATATTTTGACTGTGTTATTACTGCCCGTTCTTAGCTGATGGATATTTTGATGGAAAATGGGCCTGATGTCTTGGGCATTCCCATGGAAGTGAAAAGAGAAATTTTGTTGAATTTAAACGAAGCATCTTCATCATTTGAACTACCTGAAGACTGGGAAGGTGAAACTCCAGATCAACTGTTACTGAAGTTGGCTTCAACCTGGGAATTTGATCTGCAAAACTTGGAATAATAGCTGGCTAAACTAGCAATTCTTTGTTCAAGTGTTTTATCCATTTGGGACGTGTTTGGCGTGTAATACTAGATAGATCTCGACAGCATAGTACACAAAGTTATAGCTTCTTTTTTTTTTTTCTTTTAATGTTGTCCAGTACCTTTTAAGTATAGACTTTGCCGGACAGGCCATTAATGTCTACTACCAGAGAATCAACAATCCACTGAAATGTATAATTATGGTTAAAATCCTATTGGCTTGAATTTTGAAATTTGAATGGAGTATTATCACCAGAATATTTATCAGTTTTTTGTGATGCAAATAAATACAAAATTGCCATCGCTTCAACCTGTCTACTGGACTATTGACTGAATTTTTGCCTGTTAATGATTCAAAAATACTAGTTTCGAGGACTAGGTTTCAACTAGTTGGATACTAGCTGAGTTATGATATGGTGGTGTTGGCTTGTATCTATGTGGCAATGCATATCTATTGTCCATGCAAGACATTCTTGTCTGGTGTGATCCAGGTGCAAATCAAGACCAAGAACTGTATGAGTTCATAAAGTTGCTACAAGGCAGGCCAACAAATGGTATAGCATTTTTTCCTAGCCAAAATTTCATTAACACAACTGAATTTGAGCAATGTTAATGATACAAGCACATCCCTCAAAGTGACAAGAATCTTGTATATACAGATCAAAAAACTAATTTACAAATTCCCACATTGAATTACAAAATGCTGAACAGCAGCGTATCCATCTTTCCTACCCTCACTGCATACCACCTTCAGAAGACAGTAAGTATGAAGTTTGCAAAGAGTGTAGAGGAGAAGATTAACAAAATTTCACTCATTTGCAGGTAATGAAATTGTTATCTACTTGGCTGAATACCAGTTCTTCGCACATTTGGCATCAACAGATAAATCAACTTTAAGGATATTCTTCCCATCAAAAGGTTTCGACATGCAGTCAACCACAATATCCTTGGCAACCTCAGCAGATTCTGTCGGCCCTTCCAATATCACTTCGTCGTGAACCTGTTCAGAGATAGAAGTTAATCTAGAAATTTCAACATAATATTCTGTTAGCTAACAAGACAACATATCAACTCATATTTGAAAAATTTAGAATGATGATGACTTTTGCATGAAGATAGAAGGAGATGAAAGTCGACATTGGCAACAAAGCAACTTCCTACAGCATAATTCAGAAGCTTGAAAGTGCATTCAAGTAAATTCTTAATTGTAATTTCACAGGGAAAAAGCCCCACATAGGAAGGGAGAGAATACACATGGATTTAATCACAGTAATCCATGAACCAGATTATTTATAAGGTCTATGGCTTGGACTGTAAAATTTACATAAAGAAAGCAAGAAGCTAGACACTTCAGATTGAAGGCAAAGACAATATAACTATAATAGTGCGATCATAATATGTAATGGAAAAAACAGTTAATTGGTTTATTGAAATGAATTGTTCCAAACAACACCTGTAAAAGAAGCCTCCAACCAATCTCCTTCAGTTGTGCATTCTTTGATATTTCTAACATAGCACACATTGCAACATCAGCAGCACTTCCCTGTCAAAACTTTCCAAGTCAAAGGACACACACATTGAGGACGGTGGAGGAACTTAAAAAATTGAGGCAACAAGAAAAAAAGACCTGCACAGGGGTATTGATGGCAGCCCGTTCAATATGACTCTTGTGCCATGGAGTTGCATTTCTCAGAGATGGGAACCTGCGAGCCCGTCCTAACAATGTGTGAACACATCCATTTACGAGTGCTTCTTTTTTGCGTTTTTCCTGCCAAGACAATACTTCTTGCCGGTCACTATACCAGCGATCAACTGTTTCCTTGGCTTCCTTGATAGAAACCTGAGAGTTTATGATAGCAATCACAAACCATATCAATAACTGGGTTCCAACTGAAAAGAACTAAATTTGTTGTAATGTCAGGTTTAACAGACCTTCCAATCACGGGCCAGCCCCACCGTAGTTTTCCCGTATGCAATGGAAAAGTTAAGCATCTTCGCTTTCCGTCTTTCAGAAGCAAAAGCATCCTGAAGAATAAGTCATATTGGTTCCATTCAAGGAACAAGCACTTGATTACAATCAGAAACAAGTAAAAATTGCACCTAAGGTTTCCATTTTCCACTCTATAAGCAAATCTGTAAATGAACACTTGGATCCCTATTCTAATTTTCTTGGCAATTATAGAAGAAAATCATCAAATACCCTGACAAAACAGCCTCGTATGTGACGTGAGGTTTTAATGGGACTTTTGGAAGTCAGCAGAGATTAACTAGTTTGTTATGAAAATTAGAATGGATATCCAAGTTGTTTGATAGAGTAACAAACAAGTGCTTGTCAGTAAACTATGGGCCTAGGTAGCCTGTCCCAAAAATTAAGGTAGAGGACATTTCTAAAAAAGAATCAAACAGAAGCCAACTTCATTAAAATCCAAAAAAAAAAAAAATGCATTGCCTCTATAATGGCTTCGAAATTGCCACTTGCCAAAACCTAATTTCTCAAAAGGGATCCTGTTTAAAGTGTCATTTCGAAAAGACATTTATGCAACAGAAAAATATGCAAACAGGCCATTAGTCGTTTGTAACTTTGTTGCCAACCTAACATTCCATTGGAGTACATTTGAATTGCTTTTTTATAAAAGGCAATTCTAAACAATTTTGGTAATAACAAATTCAATCAAAGACAACAATCTAACCATAGCTTAACTTACTTGGGGTGAGTTATATATAAAAAATTAACATTCACGCAAACTGGTGAAGGATTAATGGCAGATTGGAACTATGCTTAGCCCTCAGAATTAGAAAAGTTAAGACTAAATTTAATGCAGATAAGACGGTTATACTATACAATATACGTTGCAAACTTGCTAGTCTAGCGAGAACTTCATGACTGATGTATATAGTCCCCCAGGAACCAGGAAATTCCTTTATGGAAACCAAAAGTGGATCGTTTTGTCTAATCTTTAAGTTACGAGGACAATTCTAATATTAATTTAAAGAAGAATGAGATCAAGTTCTATTTCTTTGAAAATAATAAATTTACCATAAAAATCACGTACTTGAAATGTATACATCTCCATAATCTAATATCACTGCTGCTACAAGTGCTAAGATTTCTAATATCACGAAAGCGGAAGCTACAACAGTTTTTATCAATAGTCTTCATCTTTAAATGTAGCACATAATTTTTTTTTTTTTTTCAATGAAAACTCAATTGCATCACTTAATTTACTTTAACCTCCAGCAAACTAAAAAATTAAATAAACATCATATCAAGATGCTTTTACATTACGGTTGCTATTTGAAGAAACTACAACATAAAACTAAGAGGAAGATCCCAGAGTAAACCTTTAGCAGAGGAGCTGGAGGCTTATCTTCACCAGGTTCAGCATGCCACTCAAGAAGCACATGCTTCCGTTCAACAGCTTCACGAATATGTGGATACATGTTCATTGCAGTCCTCGAATGGAAGTCTCCACCTGCCTTGAAAGCATCCAACATGCTCTTACAGTTGGCAAGATGTGCAAGAATCCTAAGTTCCAACTGATTAGAGGAACTTGTTCAATACATGTACAAAAATCACATAAGAATGCCAGAGACAGACCATAAAGTGGAGGGTGCAAGTCATTACCTGACCATAATCAGCAACTATCAGAGAGTTGTCAGGTGCAGCTATAAATGCCTGACGAATCTTATACCGGTCTTTCTCTAAAGCAGGTTGGTTCTGGTTTGAAGAAGCTAAATAATTAGCAATACTGTACATTATGTTAAAAGAAAATAAATAAACATAAAATTGACACATTGGACTCTTTTTAGGGCAGTGTAGATGCAAGTCACAAACAACATATGACGACCATTGAGACAATAAAATCAATGCTTTGAAAACCGGCCCGGTCATTGACCGGAAAAATTAAAGGGTCATATGGTCAAACCGAAGTTGACCTGGAATCAATATGATAATAGATTTATATATTATATTAAAAAAATTAAATTAATTAAAATAACATTTTAAAATCCATTATTTATTATTTATGAATCAAATCAAATGGACCAAACCAATGTTAGAGTCCATATATCCAAAGATTCCAAACCCTACTATGAATAAGCAGCTGCCGTTTTGTAGATTCATTTCATTTCAAAATTTCAACTCTTGGCCTCCTCTTGTCTTCTTGCTCACAATACAGCTATATGATGATATCCAAACCCAATTATGAATATGAAGCAGTCTACCTGCCTTCTTTCTAGATTCGTTTAATTTCACCTTCTTGCCTCCTCGTCTTCTCTCACATATCCAAATATATGTATTTGTATATTAGACACAAATACTTGTATTTGTTTAAGATTGTTTTCGATGTTGGATGTTTTGTTTGAAACCTTATGCAAAGCTTAACCAAAGAAATAGTGGAGTTCCGGAGAAACGGCATTATATCCTTATCTTCTTCATCTAATACTAATTTTTTTTAATTTTTTTTTTTTTACAAAATATCAACCATGGAACCCGTAAAAATTGTGACCGGTTCCGGTTTTCCAGTTTTTTCACTAGTTCCTTTATATCCAGTTTTCATATTGTGATCAAACCAGATTTCAGTCCGGTTCCCGATTTTTCCGATCAAACCGGCTGGTCCGGTCTGGTTTTAAGAATATTGAATAAAATGATTAACCAAAGAATCTCTTTCATTAAGCCATAAAATCAACTTTAGCCCTCATTGGCCCAAAATGATAGGACCTAAGAAGCACCGATACTTGTAAACTTGTTACGTACCGGTATCCGATACGTATCCAAGCTCTGATACCCTCCGATACGTACTGGATACTTGTTTTTAATTATTTTATATATTTTTATACTTTTTTTAATTTTCGATATGCATCTGATACTTCATGGTTCACATGTGCCTTTACTATAAAACATTGTTTTGGAACTTGTACTACCGTCTTCTTTATCTAGTACTGAAAGAAATTGGAGTACGTACTCTTTTATGCACTCCACGAGAAGGAATAAAATAACTCTACAACGAGCTAAAAATATTAGTTTTCATTCATAGCAATTTGCGTCTTTTATTAAGAAAATTAGATTTCTATTCAAAAGGACAATCCAAAATGTGGGACATTGTCGGAGACTCATTTGATACTTTTGAAGGTGTTGGACTGTTTGAGGTCGCTAACCTATCATTAGATAGCCAGAGTTGGAGATTGATGTTGATGTTGATGATGTTGAAGAAAATAAAGTTTCAACAATTAATGGTTAAGTTAAAGTGCTTTAGTATATTATTTCATTTTTATTATCATGTTTCTGTATTAATTTTTTTATATTAATAAAATTATGTTGAATTTTATAACACGTATCGACGTATCCTAATTTTTTAAAAAGGGTCATTTCGGCGTATCCATATCGTATCGTATCCAAATTACGTATCCATATCTGTGCTTATCTGGCTAGGGGCCTAGGGCCATGAATTGCAGTTAGTATAAACTTGTTCTAATTTTATAGTGGGTTATCTTAACATGTTGATACTCTGGTAGATGTTCACCCAGTTGGCAGCAACTCTATAATTAAATCAAGTCTCCATCTACATTTTTCTTTTCTTTTCTTTTCTTTTTTTTTTTGCATGATAATGTTTCATTTGTGTTCTAAAGAACATATTTTCCTCCATAATTGTACATACTTCCTACCGTTAATATTTTTCTTTTTTCTTTTTTTTTTACTTTTTGGCAGCACGAGTGTTGATATAAAACAAACTAATAACTCAAAGCTATAAAGTATTGGTGTAACAAGTAAATAACATTGAAAGAACAGAGAGAGCCTATTTTCTGCAGGTGGCAAAGAAGGCCCACTTAGAGATAAAAGTTGTTAACACCGTGGGACTAGATGCATCTGTCAAGGTCTGAAAATGTCCCGGAGAAGTTGGAAGATATTTGCTTCACATAGTTATTTGACCATATAATTTCAACCAGAAACATGCCAGATACAGGAAGAAAATCATTTAGTCCCCAATAACAATGACGGAGATTTTTAAATTGTGCAAATTATTTTGTTATTGAGTTAACGAGCCACGACTTAGGCTTAAAAATATTGTCTCGTAGCATTGAGTTTATGCATGGAAATTAGAAAAAGGAGATCGACATTTTTGAGGTTTAACTATAATAATTTCCTTAGAGCGGGATTGAAGGAAAGGCTCCATGTAGCAACATAATATAAGCATGGGATAAGGCCTTATTGAGTTCATAAACTTGTTTATCAAATACGCAAAAAAGGGTCTGCACAACATAAGAGAATTCATTGGACAAAAAGAAGCAGAAATATATTTGTTAAAAGCTATAGTTACATTTTTCATATTTGTGTTGTTAGATTTGTACTCAGATTTATTATCACAGTCAAAATTGCAATAGGAAGAATGTTGAAATGTACAACCACAAAACAGTAAAAAACCTGGATCAGAATAGTTAATTAAGTCATCTTCAGAAGATTATACAAATAATACAACAGACCTGCAAATTTGGTCTTCTGGCAGATAAGCGACCAGTTTCCGTGTTAATATTCAGTGAACAATGAATTCTCCCCTCCTTGCCTGATATATGATTACCCTGAGGTAGAAGAGAAGATATGATTAAAAAATTACAGCCTTAAGAGTTTTCTCTTTACAATGATGTATTCTTATTTCGAAAGAATAAAGTTAATTACGGAAAAAAAAAAGCTTTCACAAATATCTCAGACATCCTTCTGTGAAGTACAAGCAATTTTTCTTGTGCTCACTTCAGAATTTTAATATTGGTCAAGATCAGTTAAGATGACAAGAAACTATACAATTTTTTCTGAATAACCGACGGGGAAAAAAAATACATGCTTATCTAAATTACAAAGGAGGTATAAGATATGAACCAGGACATGAGCCATAGTTGCAGATCTGGTGGAAGGAAAGAAAAATGGGCAGCACAATATTCTCTGGCCATGGCAATCAGATTGAATTGAGCAAAAATTCTGTGCAAGTTTTTCTAATGCCTCAGAAGATCTTCATTTCATATGAACATAGGGATGATCACAAGTTGAAAATAATATGATCAGATTAACTATCAAGGGAAAACATAAACTGAGGTTACTGAGCCCTTCTTATTGATATTTTCCTCACAAATATCTGCCTCAGTTAGTTAACAAATACAGAACTTCAGAGCTAAATCAACAAGTACTCAACCATGTAAGCATGTAATGATGTATATGCGTGCAAAGATCAAGAACATAATTGAGAAAAAATGAAAAAAAGAAAAACTACAAAAACTAGAACCAAAAGGTGCCAAAAGTGCTTTCTGACAAGTTTTTTTCAAAATTTTAAACATATTGCTACCAGCCAAGAAATATATAAATAAGGTGCATCTGCTAACAACAGGGAATTATTCCAAGAATTTTTTTTTTACACATGAACCATAATTACTTAATGAAAGCCAAATTTTCAATTACCAAATGCAATCTAATAAAATTATATAGAAAAAACAAAACAAAAGGAGTCTCCAACAAAAGTTCTACGCATAGAAAGTTATTTAGGAATTTAAATCGTGTTGCCAAGAAAGTTATGGTAGCAAATAACCTGCAAGGGAAGAATAAAGTTGGATATCAAAGAGTCTATTGAACAAACTTCACATAAAGCAGCAATGGCATGGCAAGCCTCAACTCCCGCCTGCCCACCACCAAATGCTGTATACGCTGCTCCATAAGCAGACTTATCAGGGTCCTCGCAAGCTTCACCATCCCCTGCATTACAAACTTCTTCAACATTCTCTACATCCATGAAGTCAAAGTCAAAGTCAACAGAAACCTTCCCAGCAAGACCCTTTAAAGCATCACCACTAACAGAAGGCCAACCACTTGCAGTATACACATCAGCCTCTATATTAACATCAAGGGGCTTATGCAGTTTAATTTTGCGATATTTTGTTGGACTCTTCTTGCCTTCTTCGATTACCTTGTCTGTGTTGGGAACTTTGAAATCCTTCTCTAGAGGAAGAAACTCATTCACATCCTTTCTGTAGATAGATGATGAAAAAGAACAAGTCACTACATCGCAGCGTGGAGTGGGTGTGAATTGCTAATTCCCAAGTTATCGAGCAGAGATTGCAATCAGCAAAAAAGTCAAACCTTTAAAAGAAAAGGCAGCACATAGCTATTTCAGTTATTATCTGTATCATTTTCTTATAAATGTAAACGAAATCTAATTCCATATAAAAAGTTAAAATATTGCAGCATTTCATGCAAAGTTATGCCAATTATCCCAAAGCTGATCCCACCGGTCACTACACCATTTACTAAGGATCAGAAACATATTATTCCTTTTATTTATTCACAGCTGATGAATAGAAAGTAGTGAAGAGTAGAGTTTCTAAGGCAATGGTCCCTCCAATCCAAAAATTTCTTCTTCTTGAGAATCCTATTATTAGGATGCAGAGCGACAGGCAACAGCAATCTCAGGAATTGAGATCACATTGCACACAACTGACACAAATTACAATAACAAATCAATAGACTAGAAAATTATCATTTTTACAAAATGAACCTCATTGGGTTTTGTAACTGTGTCCATCTATACCAAATACAACAATAAGGAGATAGTTCATTTAAGAGCTAAAGCACATGGTTTTGTCATCAACTTTCACATGACTAGAGTCCATAGATTGTATACTTCCTCAGGCTACACAACCTCCTTCATCTCATATTATATGAATTAAAAATGCAGGAAGCAGTGTCATACCTGTTCTGAATACCACCAAAAAAGAATTGGCGCAACTGTGCATCACTACCCACATTCATGTACCGCGCATCTGGGCAGTGCTTGGACGCCCACTTGCGAAATCTATCAGCAGCAACCTGCTGTTCTGCGTTAGCCACCTTTTCAACCTCAGAAAGATAGGCACGATCAACCAGCATTCCCTCGGTTTCCATCTTTACTAGAAGCTCACCAAATGGACGCCAATATTTCTCATAGAAGTTGAACATTGATCCTTTCACAACTCCATCAAGATTCCAAGGCATTTTAGACAGTTTACACCTCAAACTTTCATATAGCTTCAGGGTGCTTATTGAGTCTAAAGCGGAATAACAAATCCACAGTTTTCGCTCAACTCTTTGCAACTCTTCAACTGGCGAAATGACCATTATTTTTCCCTCAGATCCATCTTTTTTCATTTTTTTCCTGCTAAAGATGGTTTTCATTGATACTTTACCAATCATCTCTTCACCAGGGCGCAGCTTAGCATCAGACATGACAGAGGGATCACCCGTAAGTGCTTCTAAAGAATACCCACCCTCTGTTCGCCTAGACGAATTCCACAGCCGAGCCATGTGCATTGTATCAGCGAAAAAACCAGAAACTATTAGTCCATAATTCTCTACTATGTGATTATCGAAGCTGTAATTGTGCCACACCTACAAAAAGCACGAGGAAGCCGATTATCAGGTTGACGGTGAAGTATAGACCAAATACCTAACTAGATCTTGGTTAGATAGGCTTGCTTAAGTGCTTAAACTGTGATATAGGAAGGTCAAATGACAACCAATAGAAGATGCCTTCAGAAAATAAGCATTTACTTTTTTAATGGAAGAATCCTTAAAAAATGGAGCAAACTCGGCCATTAGATTCTTGCCACCACCATCAAGAACATCCACCCAGACACAAGATTTCCCATTGCCAAAATCGACCTCTGGACCAGAATATATACTAAAACATATAATTTCTCCATGGTCCACAGGTGTCTCCTCCTTGACATCAATCTTGGCTACCTGATATAGTGTTTACATTGGTGACTAAAGTAAATTAAAATAAATAAATAAATAAAAATCTATATTTTCTATGCATAATGGAAAAGAGATGTAAATGAATCCAGTGAATACATGCCTCGGTATCACATGCGTGAACAAGATGCCTGTATTGATTTGTGAGCAAACCAACCACTTCCCTAGCTGCGGTAATGCTATTAACTACAAGAACCTTGTCATATACACTACAAAGCCTCTCAAAAATATTCTTTGGTTCATGAGTAATTTGCTCAATCCGAGTCCCGTTAGCAATGTCAGCAATAACACATTTATGATCAGCAGGACTAATTTTTATTTCATCGATAGCAAGTTCATTGACGTTTTTGGAAACTTCATCTTTCCCATTCTCCGCATTATCCTCCAACAATAACCTATTAGGCAGAACACCTTCTAACAATGATTGGTTTTGCAATGACATTGAACCATCGCCATTATTCATGCATACTTTGTTACTTCTAACATCATCAACAGACAATGGGTTATGCGATACAAGCGGCCTGAGTTGTCCTACATTCGCACTGTATTCCGTTTCTTTACTGATTGGTCTACTTCCATCTCCTTTATACTGCAAAAAAAAAAAAAACTCATGATTGCAGTGCTTTTATCTGGACATTAAGAATACTCAATAATGCAAACAATAACTTGTGCATTCCTGGTTTAATTATTGCTCATAATATCTTACCCTTTTGATACACTCAGATGAATCTTCTAGGACTCCCAACTTAGCTCTTTTTGCAGTATTTTCTGGAAGGGTTCTAAGATTCACAGCATTGTTTTTTTTATGTGCAAATAATGCCTTGTTTATTTTACATTCTTCAGCTGCTTTACCCCAGGCTTCAGCAGTATGTCCAAGAGTGACATGGCTGCCCCAAACTTCTCCATTTACTCCCTCTGTGCTTCTGCCCCCTCTATGCACAAAAGGCATCTTCGAGTGAGGAGATGGATATGTATATCTTCGTTGATAGTGCATTTGACTTTCATCATGTTCCATAGTACTATAACTTGATCTTTTTAACTGATGGGAATCAACATTAAGAGTTCCAGTTGATAAGGAACCATTTGCACTTTCGAGTTTGAAATCTTCTGGCCTGCAAATTATCATTAAGTAAAACGTGAAAACACCACTGAAGGATTGTTATTCAATCTAAACCCTCTAAAGCCAGCTCAAATCCAATAAAGCTACATTACAAGCCTCCACATAACAAATGTGACTGCCATTTAAACTTCAATATTAACAGCTAGTTGCGAAGGTGCCTGACATTAACACATTCGTCACTTATTAAGTATTCTTTTAATTTCCTTTTTCCTCTTTCATTTTTCTTCAATTACAAAAATCCGAAGGAAAAACTCATGCAGATTCTAAAGATATCATTTGTTTCAACATCTGCCACAAAACAATACAAAAATCCTTATAATTGCACAAGACAGTAGGAAATGTCAATAGTAAAATGAAGAAAAAAAACTTCGGGTCTATTCCCAATAATCCAACAAAAAAACAAATCTTTAAGAATAATCAAAACCCCATATGAAATAATGTAACGAAATCCCAATGGGTTAAACAATTGAATTTGAAAGAAACTGTACCTACGGAGGGCTTTTCTCGAACAAGCCCAAACAGTGCGAGAAGAAGAAGAGTAAACGTTAGAACACGAACGGCAGAACCAGAAATATGGGGGAGAAAGAGAGGAAGGCTTGAAGGGGTTTGTCTGAGTAGAGAAACCCAATTTAGCCATGGTTTCTGCAACTCTTCCTAGCTTATAGCTAGTGCTGCAAATAAAACTACAAGAAGCGGCCGTTTCGGTATTATTTCTTGATAACAGTTCAATTACTTTTACCGTTGGTTGGTCGCTGTAAATAAGAGGGTTTTACAGGTATTTGTCTCCGACTGTCAAGTGAGAAGTGGCAGCTGCAGAGCACATGTTTGTAGAATGAGAAAGGGCGGGGTGAAGAAGAGGGAAGGTATTGAAAGCCAAAAATAAGGATTCTACAGTTTGAGCTTTTGGCATTAACTCTCGTCAGTTGTGGCCTTGACCTCGAGAACTTGTCTACAAAGGACAGAGAGTGAATAAATGAAAACCGTCCCCTCTTCTAAACTTTCGTAAAAATAGACTCGCCTCTATCTCGAATATTTAGAATGCATTTGATTTAATTTATTGTTTTCGTCCTGTTTCACGCACATTATCTAAAAATATATTTTTTTAACTACATATTTTTCAATAAAATAATTTTTTCAATCACATTAATAATTTTTCCTTACTTTTTAACTACATATTTTCCATCATATCACTATTTAAAATATATTATTTACTCAATAATATCCATCAAACACATTTGTTTTTAATTTTCAATTTTGTAAAACACTGTTAGTGTATTTCATTTGATATTTTTGAAAATGTATTTCTAAAAACAAGGACAAGTTTATGACATTAAATTCAATACATATTTTTTATGTTTTGAGTATTTTAAGTAAAAATTCTAAAATAACACTAAAAACATGGAAACCAAGCATTTTAATAAAATTTTATTTAAATAAGAAATAAAAAATTTTAATAAATAAAAATATAAAATTCAAAAAAATAATTTTAAAAAAAATAAATTTGTTTATTTCTAAAAAATAAAAAAATTTAAAATCTAAAATTATAAAAAATTCTAGGAAAATAAAAATTAAAAATAATAATAGTTCAAGCTCTTAATGATTATTTAAATAAAAATATTTAAATGAACATAGATAAAAATGTTCTCGGTTCCCATCATTAATTTTTATTTTTATTTCTTATATTTAGAACACAAATTATTATTTGTTTTAATTTTACTTTTGTAGCAAGAAAAAAATATTATAGGATTCATTAACTTTAAAATGCATGTATTACTTGACAATATATTATCATAACATTGTAATTTTACTGAATAATTAAATTTCATGTAATAAAATATCATGAAACAATTTTTCAAAATTTCAAGCCAAACGTTTTCTTTTAATTTTCTATTTTGAAAAATAATTTTTCAAAATGACATTCTAAACACGTTTTTAGCAATCTTAAAATATGCCCTCGAAATAGAAAACTGAAATACAAACCAAACCAAAAAAACTCAATGAGCCAGTCTGTCCAAATTGCAAGGAGATCAAACTCACCCTTTTCTTCTGGGTATTTTGGTTCTATTCACTTTATGCTTTTGTTCACTCGCTAAGGGAGCTATGGCCCATACAACCAACAGGAACTTTTGTAGAAGGTGCATCCATACATATTGGGTTCTTCTGTTACCACCGCTATACATATTGCTCGTACGTAATGTATGCATGACTGTGTGATAGACAAAGAGGAAGTAAGGGTGTAGTCATCCAGGCATGAATGTGAAAGAAAGAGTGCATAGAGAGAGAAGTCATATTGTGAGTTAATTGGAAAAAGCTACCTTATAAGTCCATTAAGCGGGAATATTATATTATAATCATTAAGTGGTGTGTCCCAAAATTGTATAAATTCAAATTTTGTTCAACAATTTGATCATGTATAGTGTCATTTTAATGTTGTCCTAATATTATTTTATATTTTTATTATTATTAAATTCATGGCTCACTAAAGGGGCTAAGGAAATGATTCTAGACAAGGAAGAAGATAACTTTGATCGAACTGAAATTTACTTGAGATTGAATATTTCATTTTGTTTATTGGTTTACTGAATTTTGATTTTATAGATTAGCTAAGAAAAGTATGAATGTATATTGCATACTATAATTTAATGGCCCAAATTTAATGTACATTTCAAGCCTGTGAAAACTCCGAACTTGATCATATGCACTGAATAGTATTCTTAGCTCCGCGCCCTGATTATTTGCATATATTGTTTTTGCAATTTGTTATTTTCCTGTTGCATTCATTGAATATCAAATATTTGGGAATATCGTTGATAACAGTATCATTCTTTCACTTGAAAAACTCAACAGACTTATTGCAATGGCAAGCATGTTGGAAATTATCAAGTAAATCTTTTTTTTGTTTCCGAAAATTTCTCGTTCCGATTTATTTGCTGAATTATATTTTTATGTGTTTATTCATCTTTAGTTTTTAGAAAACTCATGTATATATCATATCGGTGTTTGACATAATAGAAACTTAGGGCGCGGATAGGCACGCTAGAGTGCCAACAACCGAAGCAACCGTCCTTGGAGTGCCTAAGTTTGGCTCGAGCATTCTTTATTTAGACCCCACACTAAAAAATGTATGGGTTCATCCTTGCTTATATTTTCTAATTTACATGTTGTTTCGAATATATTATAATTGGTTTATATTATAAATAAATAAAAATGAATGATTGATTGATAAGTGAGTAATACTTTTGGCTCTTACGAAATATGTAATAAAAATTGATTGACCATTGTTTTAACAATATAAACACACACCACACAAGTGCCGAATCATTGTCAATTTATCACTGTATAGAAGAATGTATTAAGTTTGCCCATTCTAAATCATTGTCAATCGAAGTCAAGTTTTAGACCTATGGTTGAGTTTTCATTCCTTTCAAAACAAGTTTCATGTACGCTTGAAGGATGGGTAAAGTCATTCGTACACGACGGTTTACACCCCCGTTTACACTCCCCTCTCATGAGGGGGAGGGCCCACGATGAATAAAATAATTGTGGGCCCTCCTATTGTGAGGGGGGCACGTGGGGCCGGGTAAACGAGGGTGTAAATCCCCGTGTACGAATAACATAGTCTTAAAAGATGTACATATACAATTATTTTCATGATTCTCACAACTACTTGATTAAAATTTGTTTGATGAGCGATTACATGTACTTCACTTGTCTTCTCTCTTTTTTGTGTTTTTTTAACTACCACTACTTGAGAAAGAGAAAATGAAAGTAAAACTTAATTTAAGTCAAACCAGAAAATTTAGAAAACAAAACCCTAATTCTATTCTAACTAGAACATTATAATAAACTTAGCTAAGTTCATCTAAATTAAACTATCTTTATTTCTAATTTAACATCCCAATGTCACATCTTTTTCTTCTTCACTAATATATCAATCTTTCATTTCGAAAATCAACATTTTTCTCATTCAATTTCTTAATAAAATTTTTTATGAAATAACGCATATATCCTCCTATTTAAATGACACAAAAATAAAAATAAAAAATTAATTGCAATTATATTTTCTATTTTTTTAAAAAGTGCAAACGAATTCTAAATAAATTATTTAAAATTAGAAAAAAAAAATACAAAATCTCCTTCTTTCTCGACATCACCATGGCGTCGTCACTCCCGCTCTAATAACCACCGATGTTTGGTATCTTTTCACTGAAATCGTCGGCAATGATCCGGTCGTATTTAAGAACGAGGTAGTATTATTGCTAGAACTTGATGATGAAGAATTTGAAGAAGACGAAATTGGTACTGACAAGTAGCGACCAATGCGAAGTTCCATTTTCGGGCTGGAGAGGCGATAGTGGCGTTCTCTTTGGGTTCTGTGAAGGAAGCTTAGGATTTGATGTTAGAAGTAGCCACCATTTCATATCATTAAACGAATTTTAAGCTTGTTAACCCTAAATTTTTCCCTTAATTGAGCTCAATTTTGTGTAAAAAAATATGGAAAATGTAGGAGAGTAGTGGAATGAATGCAGTTATGCAGGTATCGTTGGGTTTAGTGTGATTATTAAATAATTTATTCGTGATTCATTTGTACTTTTTTTAAAAAAAATTGGGGGTATGATTGCAATTAGTTCTTTATTTTTTTTTATTATTTAAATAAGATGGAACATTCGCTATTTCACAACTTTTATAAAGAAATTGGATGAAAATAATGATTTTCACAATGAAATGTTGAAATATGGGTGAAAATCTAAAAAAAAAAAAGCGTTGGAACATTTTGAACAATAAATTCCATGTGTAGGGACGTTTTGTGCTAATAACTCATTTCTAATCTACCAAAGATATTTTTATCTTCAATTCCATTAGAAACTTAGCTTGATGCTAAACATGCCAAACTCTACACTGTTGTACCAAGTTCTTTGTTTAGAATTGAGACAACGCTTTACAACTTGAACCTTGTTGTCTTGAAGGTTACCAGTCGAGCTGAGTAATACTATTGAAAATTTGAGATAGTAAGCTTCTTTGTCAAGGCAAAAAAGACCACAAGATGACTTGAGTTTTTGTCTAAGGTTTGAAAAAGACTTGAGTCAGTTCTATGCATTGTTTTAGTCACTAATTTGTAAGTGACAACAATGTACCATGGACGATGTGAATAAAGGATTATAGAGAAAACTTCAATTTCTAAACCAAACCAAAATTTTTGAATTACAAAATGAATAAAAGTCTATCTTGAGAAAGCTTATAATTTTGTTCTCTTGATCGGTTTTGGATAAATTTTCGCATGCAGTCTTGGTACTATATTATTACAGTTCAAGAGAACATAAAATCAGTGTTTTAACAGAGAAAAATCATGTTCTTAGGACAAAGTGCAATTGTTGGGTGTTAAATTTCCTCTTTGAGGAAAAAAAGAAGAGAAGTGCTATATGTACACGAGATTTGTACAGATTAAATTACATGGATCCATGTGGCAATTTCTCATTGGGCGTTGGGCCAAAAAAAAAAACCAACCATACTGATGCTGTCAATACAATGCCTGTAAAATTGTTTACATGTCACTTGTACAAACAGCTTATTCCAAAAAGCAAACAAATACAGAACAAGTACTAACCCCCCCCCCCCACCCCCCAAGGCAAACATAATAGTTTTTCCCTCAACATCGACTAGTTCAGATTTGGTATTTTAACTAAGCAACGAAATCAAAACAAAATGTTGGGTATTTTTGTGATGCCCAAATAATTCCTAGACGATGATGAAAAATCGTGGCCCGTTTAACTTCATAGGCTATAAGCCCGGGATTGAAGAATGTTGAATCCACACCACAAACGTTTGTGGCCCAAATCTTATTGGGTATTTGGAGGAAATCAGCCCATTGGGCTAGATGCTCAATACCCAATTAACGAAATATTTGAAGTGAAAATTCTATCTCTTATCTCCTTCACGGTTTGAATCTCCTCCTATATCTCATCTTCCTCAAGCTTTAAAACTCTTATCATTATCTTTGATCTCTATCTTGAAGAGATTTTCTTGGAATCTCGTTTGTGATTTCTTGCCTATAAAAAGGAGTCCCTAGTCCTCATTTTAAACACACCAAAATTACTTGCTTAGTGCATTTGGAAGAACCAAAGAACTTCCCCTGCTTTGTGCCATTTTCTTCAGTTTTCAGCTTCTNCCCCTGCTTTGTGCCATTTTCTTCGGTTTTCAGCTTCTGCCTTCGTGGTCTTCTGCCTTCGTGGTTATCTGCCTTTGTGTTGCAAATTCGTGCTTCAAGAGTTTCCAATTTGGTGTTGCCTTTGTGGTGTTGGAACGATTTTCTGAGCCTAAAGAAAAACGGGATTATTAGTTCTTCAATTTAGTTTCTTTTGCATTTGATTTCCTGTAGTTTTTCATTAATTCTTTACTGACGCTTTTGATTTGTTCAATTGTAGGTTAAATTAATGTCACACAAAACAGTTATATTTACGCACCATTAATTGTAGAAATTTTGTGAGTTTGAATCTGATGGGCAAGTTTCCTGGCTCCATCATCTATAATCATACAAAGGCAATAGTACTTCAGTGATGAGAAGTTAGTGGTAGAGACAGAATCAAGAAAATGCGTGCTTGTGAGCTCACATGAGTGTTGGTCCTTGGCTTAGAATTCATCCATTCAGTAACCACGCGATGTAGAATTCGGCAGAGTAGATGATTTTGTGAGAATCAACTTCAGAAAAGAAAGAATTTTCAGCATCAAGTTCACTTCAATTTTATATATAATCTCTGTCACTGCCTCCTATCAGGTGTTCACAATATCTCTACAAATCTTAAATCCAGAAAAGCTTAGATAAAGGTTAAAAATGGAAGAGAAAAATCAGATAAGAGTGTAATCCCACAAACATGATAAGTCTCTATATGCCTGTGCATGTTAACTATTTCTTCAGCCTTACGAGTTCACTCTCGAGTACGCTTGAGCGAGCTTCAAGTACCAAAATTCTTCTAGACTCAGATCTAGTCATGCTATTTGCATTCTGAGTCGATGTGTTTTCCCCATTTTTATTTCCATGAGACTGTTCTTCAACCACGACGGATTTTCCTTTTGCGAGTTTAGCCTGCTCACTACATCCTCCCAGTTTTATCCCATGTTGCATTTTGTAAGGCACATTGCATGATGATCTCTCCTCATTGCATTTTTTCTCTATGCCCGTAAATTTGGGTGGAAAACCAGGAGGCGCATCAGGATAATGGATTGTTTTCAGTTGTTTATGTTTGGGTGGAAAACCAGGAGGGACATCAAGATAAAGGTCTGTTTTCAGTTTAGATTGTCGAAACTCATCCGCAGCCGTGTTCGATCTTATTATTCCTGCAACTTCACCCTGTATAGTATCTTCTTCTTGCTTTATCAATTTTTGCATTCTTGTACAAGATCTGACACCTGCCACAGTAGACATACAATTATGAAAATGAGCAGACAACAGAAGAATAACGTTTCAAAAGGATGTCTTCTCAGTGTTGCAACTTACTTTTTCCTTTTACGTCAATGGATTTGGGCAGGAAACCAGGAGGGACATCAGGATAATTTCTTGAATTGTGTTGTTCTGTATCTTCTAGTTTTACTACTGGCGCAATCTTTATAGACAATCCAACCCCTCCAATCATAGGCGAAACACTTTGAAATAAAGCAGCCTGCAAAGGCTTCACTTGCAGAGGCAATCCTTCATTGCAGTGGAATTTACTACGATTTTGCAGCGTTTCTAAAGGAGCATTACCTGTTTTCAGTTGCTTCGACTTGTGTGGACGATTATGAGGTACTCGTGAACTTCTTTGTCTTTTCACCACACCTTTAAAGGCATTCACTGGACATAACACTGTTTTCCTCCACCATTCCAAATACCTCGTAGTCACATCCGACTCAGAAAGTCTAGATGGAAGATATAGCATCTCATCATCACTTAAAGGCTTGAAAAAATTATACCAGGCCATATCAATACTCCTATTGTCTTGGGAAACCCATCCCGGAAGATCTTGATCGTACCCAAATTGCATAGCAACTCGATGTGGATTATAAGGTTCCTCGCAATCCATGCCAACTAGTTTACACACCTTCAAACATCTAGCCAATGACTCAAATACACAATCCATATCTTTACAAACAACCCATGCTTCGTTTTCCTTATAGAACTTAGGAATTGACCAATTATCCAGAGCCAATGCATATGGTCTCCAAAGAAAAGTCTCTCCAGCATAATTAATAGCTGGCCTCACATTCCCAATATCATATTTCAGGCCTTCCCAACGAGCCAGCCGAAGCTCGCCAGAGCTCATAGAATTAGGCCTTGGGTGCAGTGGCGGCAGCCTCTCCCAAGCCCAAACTTGAACATAACACAATGGTGACCAAAGGGTAAGTACCAAAAAACTGTCAGACTCCTCCCTTTGAGTTGAGGCAACCATTGATCCTCTTAACAAACCCATGTCCTTATATATGCTAGCTAGAACAGCGGGTGCTAGAGCCACCCGGGTTCCCCTGGCAAGGAAAATTGCGGTTCGAAAAATTTGTTCACCAATCTTATCCTGTCGATTACCAGGAAAAACAAACCTCGATAACCATAGAGAAAGAAAAGCTTCATGCTCGTATTCACTTCCAGTGCCCATGAACATCTTCAACCACTTAGAATGGATATTTGTATCAAGTCTTACAAGAAAATTTCTAATATTAACGAGTTCCGGGGAATCAAGAGGCGATGAAACAGGACTGCCCAAAACTGAAAAACCACCCAAAATCAGCATATCTTCCAATGTAACAGTGGCCTCACCCCATGGAAAAATAAATGTATTAGTCTCAGAACACCATCTTTCTGCAAGCCCAAAAATCAAATCCCTGTCTACATATATTTTATACATAGACGCCATGATAGCTTCATAAATCCCAACTTTTTTCCATACAGAGTCGTACCTCGACTCCATCTTATCGACCCATTTATCCCATTTATTGATTGGATCCCTCCATCCATTGAAATTCACCTCAAGAGGCCATTTTGGTTTAGGGGTTAGAAATGGAAGCTTCATGGGTGGTCCATCAATGGAGGAAACAGAGGGTTTAAGAAAATGAGCTTTTCTCAAAGTTTGCAGACCACCTGTGGGTGAAACCATTAGCTCTTTTCTTTGCTCCATAATGGTTTCTTCAGTTGATTCTACCAGGATGAAGACACAAAAAACTATACAAAAGGAAAACAACTAAAAAAATAAATCTAACGAGAGGGTTCAATCCAGGTAAACAGAAGATAAACACAACAAGTACCATAAAATTAAAAATAAAATCAATCAATCAAGAGAAAGTACTGTTTTAGCAAAATTATTTTCACACGTTCCACACTGTTTTTCTATTCATGTTTATCTATTTAAAGAACAGTAGAGAGGTAAAAAAAATTTGCATTGCCACAAAAATAATGAGATTCTGGTGCCTCCATGGCAATGGTACTCTTAAGGAGGTGCGAGCATATTTTTCTGGCACTGGGAGAAGGACTGTATGGCCATATGGGGTGATGGCCAGTAGGGTAGTGGAGTTGGGCCTTTTCCTTTTTATTTTTCTCATTTCTATTCTTTTATTTATTAGTATCACATCTATTGAGATTATGGGTGTGACTAAAATGGAAGGTTAAGAAATTAAAATCCTATGCTTAGATACCAAAATTTAGAAAGACATTCGTTGTTACTTTCTGTCCCCGGTCTTTTTTTATCTTCTATTTCAAAACCTAGTGAAGAACGGCTTTCTTTGTAAATATATTTTTTTTTCAAAATATTCTAAAATTTTCTATGCTCAATATTTCAGCCTTGACCATTAGGAAAGACTTTGAAAAAATTCGCCGAAAATGTTCTACCATTTTCTACACTCTGCATTCTAATGATGCAATAACAGTGAATTTTCGTTAGTTAGTTCTGCCAGCAATTCAATAGCCTCTTTTTAAAACAGAAAAAGGTCTTATTTTAACTTTTTTTGCCCAAGCTTTTCTTAATGAGATGCAAATTTTGTTGTTCAACCAAACTATGTGAGCGAATGTTTCATTAAAATCCCCACCAGACAGCCCTGTGACATTAAGTTGCCCACTAAGTTTTTCTGAGCAATTCCATGAAAAATGTCTCTAAGATTGATTTTGATTGCCAAAAAACCTTCTAAGCAATTTTATTTTGTTTTTAACTATTTAGTAATTCATCTCATTATTTACTACTTGTGTAATGATATCTGTGTGTATTATCAATATTTTTGCAACTACTATTTTGAATACCACGCAGCCGTCCAGCATGGTGAAAGTTGGATGGGAGTGGCGGCAGCGATCCGTGATGAATGGAGAGTGGTCATGGCTGCGCATGCCAAGCGAGTTGTGGGGACCTTTCCAGTGGAGGTAGCGGAGCTCGTAGCACATGAATGTTTACTTCTGGCACATCATACATCTCTCCACACTTCATTTGTCGAATGTGATTCTCTCCGGGTGTTCCAAAGCTTGCAAAATGTTGGTATCCTTACGCCCAATGCAGACGTTCTTCTTGATGTTTCAGCAATATTAGTTGTGGCGGCCCATGAACTTGCTTCGTTTGCTTTTAATATTGTTGATGTAATTCGTTGAACTCATTGTATGTCGTGCAGCGATTTACCTTAATGATAAAGTTATGTTTGGTGTTCTCACAAAAAAAAAAAAAAAAATTTACTGTATCCACTTCTTCTTAGTCAAATTAACGTATATTTAGACCAATCCCCTGGCTACATGCAAACTAGGAATACAGTACTATATTGTTAGTGCTCAAGTAAACACAAAATCAGCGTTTGACAGAGAACAAGTCTTGTTTATAGGACACGGTGCAACAGTTGGGTGTTTAATAAAGCTAATAAACAATAATGTCATTTCTCCATTAATTTCCTCTTCAGCCTTCTAAGTTCACTATCGAGCATTCTTATGCAAGATCCAAGTTCCAAAATTCTTATCGACTCAGATTTAGTCATGATATCTCCTTTCTGAATCGATATCTTTTCTCAGTTCTCCACTTGTAATTCCATGAGCTTGTTCCTCAACCATGAAGGATTTTCCTTTTGCAAACCTACCCTGCACATTATGTCCTCCCAGTTTTATCCCAGGGTGCATTTTGTGAGGCTCAACATTGAAGGATGATCTCTCCTCATTGCATTTTATCTCTATGCCCTTAGATTTGGGTGGAAAACCAGAAGGGACGTCAGGATGATAGTCCTTTTTCAGCTTGGATTGTTGAGATTTGTCTGTGTTTGTCTTTGACCTTGTCATTGATCTTGTTATTCTTGCACCTACAATGTGTACAGAATCTTCTTCATCTTTCTCGATGGCTGCAAACCTGCCACAGTAAATGAAGAACTATGAAAATGAACAGATAACAGCTGAATTGCATGAGGATATGTCCTCATTGCTATGGAATTTGCTACAAGTTTGCAACATACTTTTTCCTTTTCCTTCAATGGATTTGGGTAGGAAACCAGGAGGGACATCACGGTCAGTGCTTGAATTTTGTTGCTTTGTATCTTCTTCTTGTTTTACTATTAGCTTCATCTTTGAAGACAATCCAACCCCTCCAGTCATAGTAGAAGCGCTTTGAAATAAAGCAGCCGGATAATGCTTCACTTGGCGAGAAAATCCCTCATCGCACTGCAATTTGCTACCAGTTTGTAACCTTGCCGAAGGAGAGTTACATGTTTTCAGTTGCTTCAACTTATCTGGACAATAACGAGGTACTCTTGAACTTCTTTGTCATTTTACCAACTGGACATAAAACTATTTTCCTCCACCATTCCAAATACTGTGCAGTAACATCCGATTCAGAAAGTCTAGATAGAAGATATATCCAATTATCGTAGCTCAAAGGCCCTGTAAAATTGTACCAGGCGATATCACGACTTATATTGTCCCGGGAAATCCATCCAGGTAGATCTTGATCGAGTCCAAATTGCATAGCTACTCGATGTGGATTATAAGGTTCTTGACAATCAATCCAAACAAGTTTATAAGGCCTCAAACATCTAGCCAAGGATTCTAATTCAGAATCTATATCGTTGCCAACAACCCAATCTTCTTTTTCCTTGTACAGTTTAGGGATTGACCAATTATGCACTGCCAATGCATATGGTCGCCATAGAAAAGTCTCTCCAGCATAATTAATAGCCGGCCTCACATTCCCAATATCAAGTTTTTTAAGGCCTTTCCAACGAGCCAGTCGAAGCTCTCCTTCATGAAATTAGGCTTCAGGTGCAGTGGTGGCAGCCTCTCCCAAGCCCAAACATGAATGTAACACAATGGTGACCAAAGGGCAAAGGATAAAAAGCTGCCATCCTCTGAGTCGAATCAGCCATTGATGCTTTAAACAGGCCAACGTCCCTATATATGCTAGCTAGAACAGCAGGTGCTAGCACAAACCGGGTTCCTCGAGCAAGGTAAATTGCAATCCAGAAAACATGATTACCAATATGATCCTGTTCGTTTCCAGGAAAAACAAACCTTGACAACCATAGAGAAAGAAAAGCTATGTGCTCAGATTCAGTCCCCTTATCCATGAACATAGTCAATCACTGAGAATGGTTATTTGAAAAGATTTTAAATATCAACTAGTTCCAGGACTCAACAGGACTGCCCAAAACTGAAAAACCACCCAAAATCTGCAAATCCTCCAATGTAGTAGCTGCCTCACCCCATGGGAAAATAAAGGTGTTAGTCTCAGAACACCATTTTTCTGCAAGCCCAAAAATCAAATCACTATCATCATGTATTAAGTATGTGGACGCCTTGATAGCGTCATATATCTCGACTTTTTTTCCGGACAGAGTGGTAGTTGGATTCCATTTTTCGACCCACCCATGTTTTCCATTTCTTGATTGGATCCATCCACCCACTGAAAACGACCTCCAGAGGCCAAATTGGCATAGGGGACAGAGATGGGAGCTTCATGGGTGGTCCATCAATGGATGAAACAGAGGGTTTAATAAAATGGGCTTTTCTCCAAGTTGGTATACCACCTGTGGGTGAAACCATTAGCTCATGTCTTTGCTCCACAATGGTACCTTGAACTGATGCTGCCACGATTAAGACTCACAAAGCTGTAACAAAGAAACATAATAATAATAATAATAATAATAATAATAATAATAATAATAATAATAATAATAATAATAATAATAATAATTAAATCTTTGTAGAAACAGCTGCTGTCAAATGATATGGCTATACTCCAGGTAAAGATAGAATTCAAATAAAAATTACCATTTAAAAAGAAGAAAGAATTTCATGAAGAAGTGCTTCCGTCCTGCATACAGTTGTTTTTCAGTTTTCTGTCCTATTCTATTCAAAAAAATTGGTAGCCTCCATGCATAAAGTTATTTTAACAGGACCTTTTTTATTCAAAATTCTAAAATACCCTCTTCCTTTTATCATCTTTATCCTTTTTTCAATTCTTCTTTCCCCGCCTCACCATTTTTATGTTCACGTCTATATTAATTTCAAGAACAGCAGAGATGGAAATAGGCATATTCAATACATCTCCCTCAGCCCTCGTGTCTACAGTTAAATAACCCATTATCACCCTCTTGATTTCAAGATTAAACCAAATGCAAGCACAACAAAAATCCACGAAACCAAATGGGGTTATGCATTTTGGTGTATATCCTTCAATTTAGATGCACCAGCTGTCCCAGGGAAATTTAAAATCTCTTCACCTTCTCCAACCCTGCCAGAGTACGACTTGTATCTTTGCCTTCTTTCTTTCTATAAAAGTTGATGAAATGTTGTAGAAACTGTGAAAGTATTAAAATTGAAGTTTGACGGGTTTAAAAGTTGATAAAATTTTAGCAAAATTTAATTAATCAAGCACGAACTACTGTTTACCTTTATAGGCCAAGATGTGTACGTTTCATTTATCATTTTAAGGTCATTTGAACAATAATCATCCTAGGATAGGGCTGCAACTAGAATGAAAGGTTAAGAGACAAAAAAAATTTGTATGGTGTTTGACACCCATTTTTGTGAAAAATGTGTTTTTGAATAGTGATTGATGGAAAAATGTGTGATTAAAAAGTAAGGAGAATTTTTAGGTTTATGTGTAATATTATTTTATTGATAGAATGTGTGGCTGAAATGAAAAAAGAGAAAAAAAATGAGAATGAAAAAAAATGGGTATAAATCATCAATAAGAGTCCAAATTTATTGTCGCCACACTTGAAATAACACCTCACAAAAAATTTCATATCGCCAATTATTTGAATGTAGATTAGCAATTATTTCTCTTATACTAAATTGTTGGTGACAAAAGAGGAGGCTTCAAGCCTTCAAATGCATAATAAGTCGTACTTTCAAAACAAATAAGATTTATTTTAACTAATTTGAGGATGTTACTATAATTGACCAAAGTTGTCTACACACCTTGAGGATATGAAACTCTTTGGCTATTATCAAAATGCACTTCGGAATTTTTTTTTTTTTTAATTGACGTTTTTGGTTTTAAAATGTTTCTGTTGTAGACTACAGCAATAATAATTTCGAAAAGTGGAAAATCTAAACTTATAAGTCAAACACATCAGTTTGATTAAAATATTATGTCTTTAATTCATTAAAATTTTGAGTATTAACAAAAATCAGTTTTCGCATATGCAGTAAACATTTGTTTCAAGAACTTTGCACATAGTTAGAATTCTTCAGTCTATTTTATTTCGTAAGACGGTATTAAATGTGAAATCTGCCATCAATTATCGACTTATTACCATAAGTTATGAACTAAATCTAAGTAGGACAATATTAAATGTGTAGAAAGTTTTTTAAATCTAGATAGAACTCTTCAATAAATTTGAGTACGATAGTATTAAATGTAGAATCGCCAATAATTACTGAATCACTACCGAATATTTTGAACCTTTAAAATTATTTAAATTACCGCCATTCTAAATGAGTAAGACGGTTTATATATATTTACTCAAATTGTTGTGTGATGTGTATGACGTCAATTTAAAAAGTAGTAAAGTGAACCTAAAGAGTTCAAATGATCATTTTCATTAGAAACAATTTTATTCGAGTTACGATCTAAATAACTCTACGAAAAGAAAAAAAAAACAATTTAGGATTTTCATTGATGTATGATAACTGTTATGATTCACGACTTCACCGTAGTTACAGTAATCACGTGAATTAAGAAGAAAGTAATTGAAGGGGTTCAGTATAAGGTGTGGAAGAAAACTTCAGTTGTGGCGTAGACATTTGTTTCAACAGCGGCTTAGGAGGTCTTGATCAAAGCGGTTGTTCGAGCTATTTCGACTTTTACAATGACCGCGTTCCAGTTACTAGCAGGGCTGGGTTATACGAAGAAATTCAGCTCCTCTCTTCATTCTTCAAGTGGAGGAAACATACTGATGCAAAGAACAAAACACTGGATCTCATGGGAAAAATTGAGCCGACACAATACATAGGGTGGCAAAGGTTTTAGAAGTGTCATCCAATTTAACAAAGCTGTTGTGGCTAAGTGAGCTTGGCGAATAGTCATGGACCCTTATCCTTCGGCTAGCCGTATCTTGAAGGATAAGTATCTTCCACCGTGCCAATCCATGCAAGCGGCTAGCAGAGGAGACAGCTCGTATTTATGTTAAAAGTGTACTGTTGGGGAGAGAATTGCTCAGACATGGGCTGCGGTGGCAGCAGGACAGGGATGGTACAAGTATTACTACATTTTCTTCCTCAGGCTTCGCCCACCCGTACATTTTCCTCTCAATCACACCAACTGTATTTTACATGATTATTAAGGTTTTTAATTATTGTTTGAGTAACTTTCCACTTAAGAAAGAGGCTACAAATCATTGAATTGCGTAGCTTCGAGCTATCTTCAGGTCTTCTTCAATCAGAAAAAGAGATAATTTGTTTTATCACAAAAAATTAATATACATATTTCTCTATTGATAAAAATCCCGACTTAAAAGTGAATTGAACATAGATGAAATGATGTGGAGCTTAATTAGAGCTTACATGATAGAATCGAAGAGCTATATTCACAAATTTTGGGGATCAAATTCGACGTTTGGAGATCAAAAGCGGACGAAATAAGAACTTCTGAGATCAATTTGAACATTCTTGAAACTTGAAAGACCAAATTTAAAGGAAATAGAAGTTAAAGGACCAAAAAAGAACAGAAAGAATTCTGACGAGAGATTGGGTGAATACTAGGGAGTAGGGCCTTGGATTAGGAAATTTGTTCTTCATTTTTGTTTATTTTATTTAATTATTTAAGTGAAAAATATTATGAAACCATTTACCCTTTTCAAGATGGTCAATGCTGGACTTTTGTTCAACTAATAAACTTGTGAACGGAAATTGTCAACGCTGGACTTTCGTTCAACAAATAAATTTGTGATCTAAAATTGTTAAAAGGTCCTTCTATCGCACATTTTTTAAAGAATTGAAACAAATTTGATACACTTCAAAAGTAGTCCCAAATCTACATTTTTTTTGAAAGGTTTTAAGATCTCTAAAGAGAACCGAACAGAGCCGAACTCGAATTTTAGGGTATTTAATGAATGAAACCGTCCAGTCCAAATTTAATTATAGAACCATTCGGGTTCGATTTAGTTCAGTTCGGTTCCATTCATTTTTCGGGTTCCGTATAATAAATTTTTTTTCATATTACAACAACATTACACAAATCAGACTATTACATGTTCAATCTTAACTTTTACAAAATAACGTAATTCAATCTCGTGATATCTTTTGCACATTTCTTTGTTGAGTGCTTCATAAATTTGACTGTTAAAATCACAGGTAGAGAAAGATTGCGAGTTCAAAATAATAGAACGTTAGAAACGACACTATGATAGAATAAGTTATTTAAATAAAATTTAGATCAATTTGATTAAGTTGAGTTTGATTGTAAATTAGAACTAATAAAATCATATTTTGGATTTGGACTAAATTAATTAGTTAGCAAATTTATTTAAAATCATTTGACTTATTTGAAATAAAAAATTAGGGAAATTTAGTTCTTATTTAATTCTTCGATTCTTGATCTAGAACCGAAAACTGAATTGAACCCGTCGATTCTCGATTCAGATACCCCTTCAGATATTTAATTTAAGAAGAACCGCTGGATTAGGGTCCGACTCGATTTGAGAGTTTTGTCCAACTCTAATTACGCCCATGTTTAGCTCGAATTTTCTAAAACTCATTTTTTTCTCAAAATTTAGTTTCAATCATACATTTCATATGATCAATAATTTTATCAACTTTTTGAACCATATATTTCATCAATTTTTATTAAAATGTACTAAAAATCTAACTTTTAACTAACCGAAACAAGGGCTAAATCTTTTTCCATTTTGGATGGGCATGCCTCCTGTTACATAATAACGGATTAAAACTATCTTCCAAGAGCTATCCCTCATCTCCTAAGACAGAACTGTCTAACCTACCAACCACAATCCCACGAAATGAAAATGTTTCCAAGGTTTGCTAAAAAATTTTGCACATAAGTTTCCACCAAAAGTCGTTATTTTCTCTCTCCAAAAAGGAGATCGGACATACAAGAGTAATTCCCCTTTGCCATGGTCAATAACCAATGATAATTTGTCATGGATCTACCTAAATGAATTCGTCGAAGTTTCCCCAGCAGTGTAGCATTGTTAGACATGCAAAAGGATCTAATACTTCCTTGTTATGACAAATTTCATGTATGACTGGTAAGAGTCCAATAAATCCCAATTCGTTTCAACCCCCCCCTCCCCCCCACCCACACACCCACACACACATCATATATTACAAAGTGCCTTGCAACGGCCCTGTTCAATTCCAAGTACTCCATAAGCATCAAGGAAAAACAAATTTTTGAGGGTTATTGTCACTTCCCCTTAGGGAAAGATGAACATACTAGTCCTGGAACCAAAACTTCAATAACTCAAGTCATGGCCACAATAGTATTCATAACAACATATAATAAATCCCACTGTTAGAACACTGAACACACCATATGTTACTGTCAGTTTTTGAGCATGTTCATTCCAATTCTTCCCAGCAAAATTTCTTCAGTCTTTGAAGAATGAACTCTGGTAAAAACCTTTATGCAGATTGTATCCACCAAACAGAAAAGCGTGGCAAAAAAAATCTTAATCTTTTCTTTACATTAATTTACATATTAAGGAAAACATAGATGAGTATTCATAGGAATAGAAAGAATATAAAACTTAGGTATATTAAAGCTAAAAATTAGAAAGACAAATTACCACGAGTATATATACCTGTTGAAACTGCAGAGGAGTCTATAAACTAGAGATCTGATATTTTAATTGTCCCACCTAGCAAGGTGAGTACATGTAGCTACAATCTCTAGCATCACTGCTAAGTCAGTGTTCAGCATTCCAATTGCACTACAGGACCTGTTGGCAATGCAGTGGTGAGAGTGTACTGAGTAGCACGAAAAACCATCATATTTACTCGACATTTTTTTGCTCACGCAGTTAAGAAAAAAGCAAGATACTCGGAATCAACTCCTGTACACAATTCTCATGGAGATAACATTAATAACATGAAGATAAAACCTAAGTACATATTGATGTTGCAGAAAATTCATCCTAACATTATACTACCTCACTAACAAAATATTCATTCAAATTGGGCTCCAATTGAGGATAAAATAACACATTATGACATAACAATATCATTTGCAAGATTTCTCAGATCATTACACCAGCTGTGAATTGCAATAGTAAACTAAGCATTGGCCGCCCATCCAATATCATTGTGACATAACAATATCATATCGCAATATTTTGCAAAACCATACACTTACTAAATAGTATGTTACGAAAGGACATTACTTCCACTACTCGACTTTGTCATCACAAGCTCTTTAGATTGAAATTCTATCCAATCCATTATCACACGGGTCCGCCCTTCATCATCTGCAGCAAGGTCTGCCACCTTGGCAAATGCCTGACACATATTGTCATATCTCAACTGTTCAGGAGTACTAACCAACCCATCGTAGTTAACTGCGACCCTCGTATGTGCTCTACTAACATCTCTCCTCCATCTGCGCAATATATACCTCTCTGGCAATGATGTCACGTCATTACGGATCAAGACTGCGATCGCATGCCTACAAATTATTCCCCGAAACTCGAACAAGTGACAGCTGCAAATAATTTCACATTTTTCTCTCTGAAATGAGACGAAAAACGTTTTTTTCTTCCGTCTCTCGTCATATATGACATCCTCCCGTACCTCATACGTCGTCCCAAAACATCCCTCCGAAACAGATATGAGATCGCAATAAATCTTCCCCGTGAACTCATCTTGAACTTCCCTAAATTTTGAAATTGTGTAAACTGATTGAAATTGCTTCTCCATTTCATACTTTGTTGCACACGGTACCATTTGCAAGAATGACTTGAAATCAGCCTGAAACTCCTTCTCAACCTTATTCCTTAGTGCTCGTTCATATTGTTCGACAAATTGCTTCAACGAAGTCTTCGAATGAACATACCCATGGAAGAACGCATTCATACTCTCATTTCGTTGAGTTGTTGACATCCCTGCCCAAAAAGTAGTTTTCAAAAAGCAAGGAACCCAACGTTCTCTGTTCTCGTACAGTCCTGACAACCAATCATTATTATGCAAGTCATACGTTTCGATCATCGTTTTCCAACCTTTTTCAAATTCTTCAACAATCTGTGTATCATACACTAATCCGTGTATAGCCGAAAATATCGAACCTTTATCAACGTGGTAACCAAACTTTTCTGTCAACCGTTTCAAAATATGCCACGAACACCATCTATGCTTCGTATTTGGAAAAACAATCTGAATTGCATTTTGCATGGCACTATCTTGATCAGTAATTATTCCATAGGGAGCTTGAACATGCATGCATTCAAGCCATGTCCTAAATAGCCACACAAAAGTATCTGTGTCTTCGTTTGATACCAAACCACAACCAAGTAGTATTGATTGTCCATGATGATTCATGCCAACAAAATGGACGAAAGGCACGTCGTACTTATTAGTAAGATAAGTGGTATCAAAGGTGACAACATCGCCGAACTCCCTGTATGCTTGCCTACACCTATTATCTGCCCAAAATACATTCTTCAGTCGCAACTCGTCGTCCAAATCTATACTGAAGTAAAATCCCGAACACTGTGCTTGCATCTTTGAAAAGTAGGATTGTAATGCTGCGATATCTCCTCCAAGTTTTAATCGTCTAGCTTGCTCAGTATAATTTCGACAATCCTTTTTCACACAAGTCATATTCTCATATCCACTTGCTTCAACAACTGCAGAGTTGTAACTTTTCTGCAACGAAATTCCTGTCATATCATTCACTTCAATCTTTCGTTTCACATGTGCACTCAATTCTCGATTGCATCGATACAACCTGGACTTGGAAGGACTTGTTTTATGATTGTGGTCGAGGTGGACTGTGTTAATTCTCCAAGTTCCATGATTAATCGAAGATGCCGAGATCCTGGCTTTACAATCTGTCTGAACTGTTGGTTGCGGTTTCAAAGAACGACTTGTATTACTACTTCTTCGACCTTCACGACCACATGTGAACGTCACATATCTCAAAGCTCCATCATCCCCCTTTTTCGAATTCCTTTTCTTAACTGGAAAACCTACATCATAAGCATATCTTTTGTAGAACTCAAACATTTCTTTTTCATCCACGAACATCATACCCACCTCAGGCACAATCGCACCATCACCTCCTAACATTTCATCTTCCACTATGTTCATGTTGTCTGTAACGTTCTCATTATTGGATTCCACCAAAGTATCATCATGCATGTCTTCCATAATTTCTTTTGCTGTGACAAAATAAGCAATAACATTCAGTAAAACATAAGCTAATTACACTACAATAAATAGATCAAAAAGTAATTTCAAATTGATACAAAATAATCATTTCAATATAGCATGATTGCTCTTACCATGTAGTTGTATAAGCGATAACGAAGGAAGGGCACACTAACAAAATAACAAGGGCTAAAATTTCAATAGTCACTATTTTTTGGGTGTTAGGTATGCACTTTCTAGTTTCTTTTACATCATTTCAATACATGTTAAGTATATGTTAATTCTCTAATCAGTGACGCCTCAAAATACAATTTTTTGTGTCAAGGTAAGGTGATACTCTTCGCAAACCCCAGAATACCCCTGATCATGTTAACATTATACCACTAAATCTCCAATCCACTAGTAGTTGTTTCCCAATACCCTTAGTGGTTGACATCTCTTCTAATTCGTCAAAATGAGAAGTAAACTGTTTTCTGAAGAAATGAATATCTCGACAAAACTCATCTATTTTCATTATAGCAAGTCCCAAACCTAAGTAAACGATAGAGGGTTGCTATAGGTTGATGGCCAATGTAAAACTTGAATCCCAATATACATTTCGTTGAGCTGTCTTCTAGTGGCGAAGGATCTAGTAAATCTTCCTTGAAAAACCAAATCTTGCAATGCAGCAAATAATGAAAAATTAAAAAAGCACAATACTCAAGAAAACCAGAAGAGTGGCTCACAAGGGTTAGCCGAAGGTGGAGAAGATGGTCGGGAAGTAGTCGCCGGAGCTGTCGACGATTTTTGCATGCAGTCGTCAGAGCTGACCATTTTCGCAGTCGGGATGGAATTTTGAGGATTATCCAATTTGGGGGAAAAGAGTGTGCTTACAGTTAAATTTGATTTCATCATTCCCTTGTTTTCTTTTTCTTTTTTTTGTTAAATAATTGTCACGTCGCCAATTTTAAATTTCCATGTAAGCGCTCTGGCAAAAGGACCTGTACAAGAATTTTATTGTTAGCATTAAAGGCATTGTCTCAACTAGCAAGGTAAGTAAATGCAGCCAGATCAAGTTTCTTGTTCTTTAATTACTTGCATCTAAATAGTCCAATCAGATGAGCTTTTCTTCATATTTAATGCAATGAAACCACAATGTTGCAATTTTATTCCATACGAAAACGCCAACAACAAACATAAAACAAAATATGTACCAAAGAACATAAAGATCGCTCGCAATAAAAGTATAATCAATGGATATCTGTCCACTACTACAGTTCTTAGTAGGGACTAATTAAGCCAACTGAGTACAAAACAACATAAAGAACAGTTAAAGAAGGCTAATTTTTGAAGCAAAAGCAAATGGCAAGTCCATTAAGTTGAAACAGCTTAATCAAACAAGGCACGTCTTCTATGAAAATTTGAACAACTTCTATTTTTGTTGAATTATTGTGTCTAGCACTTTGAAGAGAGTAATAAATCTAGCACATCCCTCAGAATTCATTTCTCTTCAAAGAATATCAGTCTACTTTTAACGTAAAAACTTCATAGATATTCGTCATAGGGATGCAGGACATTCTTCAAAACAGCAGCACAACTTATTACAACCAAAAAAAAAAAAAAAGCGCAGATCTTTCATCTTCAAAGAGATTAGCATTATGTATTACAAATCAAACAATTCTTTGGGAATGAAATGATGAAAATGATATATCAATTTTGATTCTTCAGCGGGAAAAAATTCAAAATATAAATAATATCCCTCAGAACAATATTTTCATCAAACTCAATCAGGCCACTACTTTTATTTCAATCTTACGTTCTTCATTGGGATAGTTGGGGAAAAATAAACGAAAAAAATAACAATACAAAAACAAGCAAACATAAATACATATACTATAATCATTTTTATATCTCATATTCTTTGTTTCTAAAACGCACATCTTGCATGAAAAGTTTGAACATCAAGAGTAATAAAACCAGCACATCCTTATTCCCTCAGAGGCAGGGTCTTCTTGGAAATAGAAGCATAAATTATAAAAACAAATTTAAATATATGAAAAAAGATCTCATTCTTCAAAAAGATTAACAGAATGCATTGAAAAAAATATTTTCCCGTGAATGAAATTATGAAAACGATGGATTGAATTCCATCCTTCAGCAGAAAATACAGAAATTAAGGCAAGGGTCAGTTCAAAAACATAATTTGAAATAACAAAACTTCAAAATAGAAATAATATCCCTCAGAATAATAGTTTCATCAATTAAATCAGACCACTACTTTTATTTCAATCTTACGTTCTTCACAGGGATAGTTGAAAAAAAAAAAAAAATAGCATTTATACAAAAGCAATCACAAAAATACTTTTAATACCTTAGATACATTTCATTGCTTCGAAAATAAGAACAAACTATAACCTCGAATTGAAACGCCGTTCGATTATTTAGGCACATTTAATTCTGAGTAAATATTGGGGACGGGGTAGAAGAGAAGAGGAATTTGTGGCGGCGAAACAATGTTCTTTTTTTAGGGTTTACATGTAAAAGCCAGAGGGTAAGAAAAGGAACGCCTCTGTTTGTATACATGGATAGTTTTACGAAGGGACAAAGTAATCACTTAATTCTTCCTCTATTAAAAATTGGGAGATTACATCGACACCATAATTTTTATTTGTTACATCATATTTTACTCACAGTTTAACTCTTCAATTTTTTCACTATAACAACTATTTTCTATTTTTTTTTTCCAATTCTTATTTTCAATTTTCTATTAATTAGTTTGTCTCGTATTTGACGATAATTTATATAAAAATATTTTGTTTTCATACTTTCAAGTAGGATTGGGTCTGAAAACCAAATTTAAAATAATTGTGGGTCGGGTCGGAACAGACCCAACCCACTAAAACCCTATTATTTTCTCATGAGTTCACCCATTGAAACCCTTTTGCAGGTGACTTCTTCTTTCAACACTTACCTCCTACACTTCTCCACGATCTTTTAGCAGGGTGTGGACTCTCGACTTCGTCTTCACCGGAGCCAGAGCCCGGCCAGAACTCCGATGAAGCCGGCTTGTTAAGGTCAAAGTCTCGGTGGTGGGTAACGGTGGATCCAACTCCTTCCGATGACATCACTGCACTACTACTGTTGGATCCTCCGTTGTTAATGGGTGCCCCACCTTCATAGTGGCGCCTTTTGTGACCCTCCCATGAGTTCCGTTTCTTTTGAGAGGAATAAAGATTTTGTGATACTAAATATTATTTGGTACTGCTTTATGGAAAATTTAAAATATCCACGTTTTTCTTCTTTATATTAAAATTTTTGAAGTTCTTGAATTTAATTGAAGTGACTGAATTCTGAAAATGTGTGAATATATCTTTTTTGGTGGGCTAATTCAATGGCATGTTTGTCTCTGCAGTTCTTGTTTTCATGCAAATCATAGATTATAATCTTAATTTTAATTGATTAGGGGAAATTACTTATTTCTTGTTTATGGTCGTGGTCTTCTCCAGCTTGTACACAAGAAGAGGTGAACAAAGTAATGGAAATGTGTGGGTAAAAACTCCGTTCTAGAAGCGTTCCGAGCTTCTTCACAAAGCAGCCGTTATACTGAAAAATCACAAAGCCCAATTGGAGAGTATTTAGTGAAGGAAATTGCAAAACCAACAAAGGATCATGTTACTGAGGTAGCTATTAACTTCTACTAAGTTAAAATGCATATTGGTCCTGGGATATGTCACAAAAAGGAGTTGGAATTGGAGTAGTAGTAGCAGGTGGGTTCAGGGACTTCATTAAATTAGAAAAAAATGTACAAATTGGTCGGTTTGGAAAAAAACATGTTGGACCCGACCCGACCCGATTTGGGTTGGGTCGATTTAGGGTAGGATCTGGGTCTGGTCGATTTGTGAAAGAATCAAAATCGGGTATGTTGGGTCAGATCGATTTTGGGCCAAACCCGACCTGACCAGACCCATTGCCCTCCTCTACTTTCAAATGAGTGAAAATATTTATTTACACTTTTTATTTATTTTATTTTTTTAAAATGTAATGGAAAAATAAGTTATTTTACGTCATTTCAACAGACTTTTGAATATAAATAACATAAAAAATCATTATGAACGTAAGTGATATATGAACAAAGATTAAAAATTTTATATACAAGAAATAAAAATTGTGATTTGTATAAATTACTCTTAAAAAATTCCTAATGTCAAGTTTCAAAGGAGGGATTGCCGATAGGGAGACAAATGCAACTACTGATTTTCAATTATTGAAATACCGATTTTCGTTAAACTATGAAAAATTTGAAGATTGTATATTTAGGGAACTTTCAAAAACCTTTTGGAATTTAAAAAAATTAGGGATATTTAATATAGACTTTTGGAAATTCTCTAAAATGATTGTTATAATCAATCGAGACTTTTGTAAGTTTTTAAAAGTCACTTTGAGTTCAATTAAAACTTTTTAGAAGTCTTTATAAGTTTTGAGTGTTCAAATTGTTAATGACTTTTAAAGTTTTTAGTGTACTAATTTTTAATCAAAAAAATACTAAAATAAGATTTCAAAATCTGCCTCTCATTCATCCCAAAATTTTAGGAGTCTATGAGACAATAAATTATAAATACAAAATCTTATAACTCTTCCTCTTTTTTCATTATTTTTTATGAAAAATATCTATTTGTAAGTAAGAATTATAAGATTTTTTTCACCCCGTTTGATTCTTATTATTATAAAATGAGAATGAAAAATATAACCGTTATTTGGTCTCGCACAAGCGATAAAAATTTAAAATTGATGATTTGATATGATGGATAATAGTCATATTTTTCATTCTTGTGGATAAAAATGAGAATTAAACTACCCTAAAAAAGATTAATTTATAATTAAATTTAAATATATTGACTTCATAAATATCTAAGAAAGACTCCCGTTAAATTCATACAAATTTATAAAAAATTTACAAAATACACAGAAGTGTCACTTAAAAAAAATTGTATAGAACTCTTCAAAAGTCACAATTGATTCACAGTGGATGATCGTATTGGCGGGAGTTTACTTGACAATCACCGCCACACTCACGATGGCAAATGGATTGAGAGAGTGGACAGGGGAAATCCACTGTAGAGTGGCGGGTGCTGTGTGTGGGGATTCATCTATTGGCCCCGAGATCATGTTTTATCAGGCAAATTACTTCTACCAGTTTTATACAGCTTTGATTCTTAGAATTGGTAGTTTTGATTAATTTGATGTTGTTTCGCGCGGGTAGTCGCTAACAATTAAAAAAGAAATTCAGACGATTGTGTAAGGGATAAACCTCTTGAGACAAAGTCCCAAAAATGGGTACTTTATTGATGAGAGTTACAATTTGAAATAAACAGAATGCCTCTAAGGGGCGCAAGCACATGAGTATTCTCTGTTTGAGAGTGTTTGATTCGGAGTCCTTTCCTCTATGTCTATTCTTCCTTTTATATTCTCATGATAATTTCTTTGTGACAAATCGCTTGGAAACTGCTTAATTGCTTTCTAACTACCCACTTTCTTCATAATGGCTAACTTGTCGTGGAACTGTCATCTCTAACTGCTGTCATTACTCTTTGACGTTCAACTGCTTTCAAATAGGCTCCTTAAATCGTAGAATGTGATAATCGGCTCGATAACTGTTTCAATATCAACTATTCTGGATGACAATAATATCTCATGTATTAAGATTCTGGGTGACTCGAAAGTCAGAGCGAGAAAGAGGTTGTCACTTTGAACGACCGTGAGGTACTCTATTCTCCCAAATTTTGGACATCTTGCAGGCTTAGGCAATGATATTACTGTATTTGTGGGTTTCCTCT